ATTTTTGTTGACCTTTGTCCATGGAAGGTCCCTGCAAAATTTCATTGAAATTGGTTCAGGGGTTTTGGAGAAGAAGTCGAAAATGTAAATTGTTTACGGACGCACGACGGACGACGGACGACGACGGACAAAAGGCGATCGCAATAGGTCACTTGAGACTTTGTCTCAGGTGACCTAAAAACAAATATTCTCCCTGTTTTATAATAATGCCTGGTATATTCTTCTCCTCAAGATTGCAATGTAGAGAATGCAGAAGTACTGAAATTTTGCACTTATTTTTTTACCTTTGTAAGATTGACCCATAGGTGAAGGTGAATAATTCACTTTTACTTACCAAATGGTACAATGTTTTGCATGTCTATGCTAAAGACACTAGGGTCTGTTGAGCAGCTGGACCACAGACGCCGGGCATTGTCCACACATATAGGGTCCAGACCTGGCTCAGGCTCTGGGGAGTCGTTCTGTGTACAGCATAATACAAACAGAATCAGACGTGGAACCTGCTATATTATATAACTTATACACATATAGGGTCCAGACCTGGCTCAGGCTCTGGGGAGTCGTTCTGTGTACAGCATTATACTAACAGAATCAGACGTGGAACCTGCTATATTATATAACTTATACACATATAGGGTCCAGACCTGGCTCAGGCTCTGGGGAGTCGTTCTGTGTACAGCATAACACTTACAGAATCAGACAAGGAACCTGCTATATTCTGTAACTTATATATATATTTTTTGTGTAACTTTAAGACAAAAAGCATCTACTTACAGATATGACCCTGATTAGATTTGATAATATTGACTTATACCACATGACTTTTTTGTGTAACTTTAAGACACAAAGCATCTACTTACAGATATGACCCTGATTAGATTTGATAATATTGACATATACCACATGCCTTTTTTGTGTAACTTTAAGCCACAAAGCATCTCCTTACAGATATGACCCTGATTAGATTTGATAATATTGACATATACCACATGACTTTTTTGTGTAACTTTAAGACACAAAGCATCTACTTACAGATGTGACCCTGATTAGATTTGATAATATTGACTTATACCACATGACTTTTTTGTGTAACTTTAAGCCACAAAGCATCTACTTACAGATATGACCCGGATTAGATTCATCTGTATCCTGGTTTTCTCTTCGGTTGAACGCATACTGTCTAGGAGTAAGTCAAGGTATAACATAATACACTCACAGAGACAGCAATTAGCATACTCTAATAGTCAAGGTATAACAAACCTCAAAATACACTCACAGAGACAGCAATTAGCATACACTAATAGTCAAGGTATAACAAACCTCAGAATACACTCACAGAGACAGCAATTAGCATACTCTAATAGGACAAGAAATCAAGACAGAAATTCATCCACTATATACAATAATACACTCACACAGACAGCAATTAGCATACTCTAATAGTCAAGGTATAACAAAATACACTCACAGAGACAGCAATTAGCATACTCTAATAGTCAAGGGACAACAAAATACACTCACAGAGACAGCAATTAGCATGCTCTAATAGGACAAGAAATCAAGACAGAAATTCATCCACTATATACAATAATACACCCACACAGACAGCAATTAGCATACTCTAATAGTCAAGGTATAACAAACCTCAATATACACTCACAGAGACAGCAATTAGCATACTCTAATAGGACAACAAATCAAGACAGAAATTCATCCACTATATACAATAATACACCCACACAGACAGCAATTAGCATACTCTAATAGTCAACGTATAACAAAATACACTCACAGAGACAGCAATTAGCATGCTCTAATAGGACAAGAAATGAAGACAGAAATTCCTCCACTATATACAATAATACACTCACAGAGGCAGCAATTAGCATACTCTAATAGGACAAGAAATCAAGACAGAAATTCATCCACTATATACAATAATACACTCACACAGACAGCAATTAGCATGCTCTAAAAGTCAAGGTATAACAAAATACACTCACAGAGACAGCAATTGGCATTCTCTAATAGTCAAGGTATAACATAATACACCCACACAGACAGCAATTAGCATACTCTAATAGTCAACGTATAACAAAATACACTCACAGAGACAGCAATTGGCATTCTCTAATAGTCAAGGTATAACATAATACACTCACACAGACAGCAATTAGCGTACTCTAATAGTCAAGGTATAACAAACCTCAAAAAACACTCACAGAGACAGCAATTAGCATACTCTAATAGTCAAGGGACAACAAAATACACTCACAGAGACAGCAATTAGCATGCTCTAATAGGACAAGAAATGAAGACAGAAATTCCTCCACTATATACAATAATACACTCACAGAGGCAGCAATTAGCATACTCTAATAGGACAAGAAATCAAGACAGAAATTCCTCCACTATATACAATAATACACTCACAGAGGCAGCAATTAGCATACTCTAATAGGACAAGAAATCAAGACAGAAATTCCTCGACTATATACAATAATACACTCACAGAGACAGCAATTAGCATACTCTAATAGGACAACAAATCAACACAGAAATTCATCCACTATATACAATAATACACCCACACAGACAGCAATTAGCATACTCTAATAGTCAACGTATAACAAAATACACTCACAGAGACAGCAATTGGCATTCTCTAATAGTCAAGGTATAACATAATACACCCACACAGACAGCAATTAGCATACTCTAATAGTCAAGGTATAACATAATACACTCACACAGACAGCAATTAGCATACTCTAATAATCAAGGTATAACAAACCTCAAAATACACTCACAGAGACAGCAATTAGTATACTCTAATAGTCAAGGTACAACAAAATACACTCACAGAGACAGCCATTAGCATACTCTAATAGTCAAGGTATAACAACCCTCAAAATACACTCACAGAGACAGCAATTAGCATACTCTAATAGGACAAGAAATCAATACAGAAATTCATCCACTATATACAATAATACACCCACACAGACAGCAATTAGCATACTCTAATAGTCAACGTATAACAAAATACACTCACAGAGACAGCAATTGGCATTCTCTAATAGTCAAGGTATAACATAATACACCCACACAGACAGCAATTAGCATACTCTAATAGTCAAGGTATAACATAATACACTCACACAGACAGCAATTAGCATACTCTAATAGTCAAGGTATAACATAATACACTCACAGAGACAGCAATTAGCATACTCTAATAGGACAACAAATCAAGACAGAAATTCATCCACTATATACAATAATACACAATAATCTATATTTGGAATTTCCATAGGTGAAATGTAGTTAGCAACAAATTAAAGAAAATTCAGGACTGAACTGAACATTCTAAACATTTATATAAAGCTAACTGTTTACAAATCTACATATGTATTTGATGATATTACACATTGTCATATACATGTATTTCATGTGTGACCGTTCATCTTTAGGAATATGTTGGTTTTCATGTGAATTCATGATATCATCAGAATATGCATTTCAATCCTGATAGTTACATTATTAATGTAGTTTTCTTGTTCATGTTTTTTTTTCCTACATGATTTATTTTGATTTACCCATAATATAAATTTTAAACAAACTGTTTTATCAAAAAGTGGAACAACCATTTTTGCAAGAACAAGGTCAAATTTGTGATACTTTCGATTTCCATAAGGTGACTATACCATCTACTAGAAACCATGTAGGAATTATATTACAATCTGATTTGGTGTAATGACATGACTGGTCCCAGGATACTTTATACCTATAGACCTAAATAGTTCCCGATTTGTAAACATATACATGTAATGATTCCTGGTGTTATGCTTTGATAACAACATTTTGAGTTGGTTTGCAAATAGGCTGTACAGCAGGTATGTAAATACTGCTACAGGACTTGTAGGTAAGGATACAGCTACCGATGAGCTCCACACAGACAGACACATACTCCTGGAGTTTACAGGTCAGATAGGCACATTTGAGTGAGATATCCAGGATGGAATCCAACAGGTGCCACCAGCGTTCCCCTCGATAGTCCCACATCACCTTGTTCAGCAGCCTATATAAGTGAAAGTCAACAGTAATATAAAACACCTCCTCTCGGGAGCCCTACATGATTTTGTTAAATGCTTACATAGTAACACAGTCAAGTAGTGCTCCCCTCAGTAGCCCCACATAACCTTGTTCAGCAGCCTATATAAGTTAAAGTCAAACGTAATATAAAGCAGTGCTCCCCTCAGTAGCCCCACATAACTTTGTTCAGCAGCCTATATAGGTTAAAGTCAAACGTAATATAAAACAGTGCTCCCCTCAGTAGCCCTACATGATCTTGTTCAGTGCTTACATAGTAACAGTCAAATATTTCATAAAGCAGTGCTCCCCTCCATAGCCCCACATATCATTGTTCAATACTTACATAGTAACAGAGTCAAGTATTACATAAATCAGTGCTCCCCTCAGTAGCCCAACATAACCTTGTTCATGCTAATGCAGTAACACATGTACAGTCAAGTAATTAAAATACATCAAATAAAGCTTGCCTCAGTAACCCCACATGACCTTGTTTAGTGCTTAAACAGTGACAGAGTCGGGTATTACATGAAATAGTGCTACCTTTAGTTTTGTAGCCCCACATGACCTTGTTCAATGACTACACAATAACACATACCAGTATTACACGAAGCAGTGCCCCCCTCAGAAGCCCCGCATGACCTTGTTAAATGCCTACACAATAACACACACCAGTATTACACGAAGCAGTGCCCCCCTCAGTAGCCCCACATGACATTGTTCAATGCCTACACAATAAAACACCAGTATTACACGAAGCAGTGCCCCCCTCAGAAGCCCCGCATGACCTTGTTCAATGCCTACACAATAACACACACCAGTATTACATGAAGCAGTGCCCCCCTCAGTAGCCCCACATGACATTGTTCAATGACTACACAATAACACACACCAGTATTACACGAAGCAGTGCCCCCCTCAGTAGCCCCACATGACATTGTTCAATGACTACACAATAACACACACCAGTATTACACGAAGCAGTGCCCCCCTTAGTAGCCCCGCATGACCTTGTTCAGTGCTACACAATAACACACTCCAGTATTACATGAAATAGTGCTACCTTTAGTTTTGTAGCCCCACATGACCTTGTTTAATGCCTACACAATAACACAGTACATGAAGCAGTAGTCCTACATTGCCTTGTTAAACAGTTATTTACACAATCAAATATTACAATAAAACAGTGCTCCCCTAAGTACTCCCACATTATTTGTTCATTAGCCCATGCAGGTGCAACCCAAAGTCACGAAGAAAGACAAAAAGCATACAATCTAACGCCCTACTGGTACAGTGTAATCAGTGTTACTACTGTAAATGAAATACTTACATAAGAGCTTTGTTGTAATCTTTGGCGTGGTAATACTCCTCCCCCATCTGTACCACTGTAAACCATACAATCTAACGCCCTACTGGTACAGTGTAATCAGTGTTACTACTGTAAATGGAATACTTACATAAGAGCTTTGTTGTAATCTTTGGCGTGGTAGTACTCCTCCCCCATCTGTACCACTGTAAAACATACATAGCTCATGATTAGGAGCAATCTATAAGCTTTATCAACAAACTCATCACTGTCAATCATCAATTACATCAGTAATACAAATAAAATAAAACTTTTGTCAGAATTCTCTTTCACAAATCAATGTTTTACACTATTTTGTTGGTACAAATACTCTGTAAGCCAATAGGCTACAGTGACATCAAGCAGTAAACAATATATTGCTGTGTTAGTATTGGCAGTTTTTCTATGACCATGATAACAATATATTGCTGTGTTAGTATTGGCAGTTTTTCTATGATCATGATGGGCATTCAAATTGCTCCACCACAAATGTTCCATGTAATCGAGTAAATAGAGAATATTGCATGAGTTTTGTTTCCATTTCATATACAATCCATGAAAAAAGTCAGACTCATTTTCCAAGGCTATAGAGGATAAATCTTACTTAGGTATCGCTTCATCCTCGGTGACTTGTATTTCTTAAACTGGGCTACAGCACTGTTCAACAAAGGGATGATAATCCACTGCACACATAAACATAAAAACACAATGTCATTCTTTTGGATTTTATAATTATATAATTTTGCCAATTAATTCCAAAGAAAGTAATTTGTACACCTTTGTTTGTTAGAGGTGCACCTACAACACACAGGTCACCTGGCAACGGATATTATAATGAATTTCAAAATTTATTTACACATATTTTAGGTAATAAACAGCGATAACTTGTATAAACTCACAGAGTGATCAACTTGTATCTCCATGTTCTGTAGGGAGGCTATACCATCTCGTTCTCTCTGCATGTCCGGGGGATCAATACCTGTGTAACAAAATCAGGACAATTAACATCAAGTCCTTCTTCATCTTACGACTTCTCTATCTTAATACCATTGTCACAATTGATTGATATTTAGAACAAACTTGACTTTTTTGCAGCATTTTTAACAATTTTTCAGACAAATTGATATATTACATTGAATATAATACTAATTAATAATAAATAACTGCTAGTTTAATTTGCAAATCAATTTAACTTGAAACAATTATACTTTTTTCAAATACAGACATTTAAGATTAGAACTTATAAAGCCGTATTATATACTACTTAACAATTAAATAAAAAAATAATAATATGAATTTCTTATTAAACAGTTTATCTGAACCATAAAATGAAAAACTGTAATCAAACAGTGAATCCCAGATGTATCTGTCAATTAATACTAGTCCATAAAACAAATGTTGAAACACAATCCATTTTGTAGTGTTAAACCAAACAGTTATATCACCAAGTACACTTTACATCAAAATATTATACATGAAATTCCAATAGACATTCAATACAGTGTGTATACACTCTCTATCGATGGGTGAAACATCCCGGGTCGTGTGACATATGAAATATACAATTTTGTCACATCATTGTACAGGTAAACAATACAAATCACTCACTCAGTCATAGCTTAACAAAGGGGCCAGTCGGTCATGAAATGTTGTGACACGTTTAATATGTGCATTGTATATAGTAAAACTTTGATGTTACATATTTCCAAACTGAGGAATCTTATTGAAGACATCCAATAGACATTTATTTTCAGCCAGACAGAATTGTGAAATCAGTTGACTTATACATTTACATTGTACATCGAAGACTGACTTTAAAGGATGGTGACTGCTTTATGTCATTAACATGTAAGTCAGCTGTACAATAAAATGTAAATGGACAATCTGTGTAAGGTTTGATGTGATGGACCAGACTAAACTACATTGATGCTCAAAGTTAAACTACAACTGTAAGTTTGTCAGTGTAAAAACAAACAATAGCATATATATAAGGTACAAAAATTAAACACACGACTCAAAACAGCTAACTAATTATAAATCACACTATTTATAAACTTGATCATAATAAATTAAATCCCTCTGAACAATGACTGAAGTCTTTTCACACCGAGTTTGGCAGGTTCAACATTACTGTATATACAGTAAGTATAACTATATCATTTAGTGAAGATAAGAGTTGTATTTATTTTGATAAAGGTGCATAGGGATTGATCGGCATACAATCAAGTTATGACACTCTGAAACTGATTAACAACAAAACAACAATAAAACAAACAATATGTAACTCCATGACCACATTAAGACAGTATTACAATAAAACTGTATGCCTTCTTTCTGTACCAGATTACGGCCAGGTTCAATCTATATATCGTTTTCAGGTAACTCTCTAGAGCCATATTCACATGTACACTAGAACACTTTTTAGATAAATTTTGAAAAATATTTTTCCCATTTTCAGTTCTTTGTAAATCATGATATTCAGCTTTGAGTAGGCTAAGGACTTTAATATTTATACAAAATAACAATCAAATTACTTTAAATATCGCAAAAAAAATAGAAATTGTATATCAGCAGGATTTTTTTCTAAACATATGGAGACTGAAACTATTATCTTTTCAAATAATTTATGCAAATACATTGTTCTGTCTCTGTACTGGGCTATTGAGAGTCTACTTTTTATACATTGTCATTATAATCTCTCTGTACTGGGCTATTGAGAGTCTACTTTTTATACATTGACATTCTAGTCTCTCTGTACTGGGCTATTGAGAGTCTACTTTTTATACATTGTCATTATAGTCTCTCTGTACTGGGCTATTGAGAGTCTACTTTTTATACATTGTCATTCTAGTCTCTCTGTACTGGGCTATTGAGAGTCTACTTTTTATACATTGTCATTCTAGTCTCTCTGTACTGGGCTATTGAGAGTCTACTTTTTATACATTGTCATTCTAGTCTCTCTGTACTGGGCTATTGAGAGTCTACTTTTTATACATTGTCATTCTAGTCTCTCTGTACTGGGCTATTGAGAGTCTACTTTTTATACATTGTCATTCTAGTCTCTCTGTACTGGGCTATTGAGAGTCTACTTTTTATACATTGTCATTCTAGTCTCTCTGTACTGGGCTATTGAGAGTCTACTTTTTATACATTGTCATTCTAGTCTCTCTGTACTGGGCTATTGAGAGTCTACTTTTTATACATTGTCATTCTAGTCTCTCTGTACTGGGCTATTGAGAGTCTACTTTTTATACATTGTCATTCTAGTCTCTCTGTACTGGGCTATTGAGAGTCTACTTTTTATACATTGTCATTCTAGTCTCTCTGTACTGGGCTATTGAGAGTCTACTTTTTATACATTGTCATTCTAGTCTCTCTGTACTGGGCTATTGAGAGTCTACTTTTTATACATTGTCATTCTAGTCTCTCTGTACTGGGCTATTGAGAGTCTACTTTTTATACATTGTCATTCTAGTCTCTCTGTACTGGGCTATTGAGAGTCTACTTTTTATACATTGTCATTCTAGTCTCTCTGTACTGGGCTATTGAGAGTCTACTTTTTATACATTGTCATTCTAGTCTCTCTGTACTGGGCTATTGAGAGTCTACTTTTTATACATTGTCATTCTAGTCTCTCTGTACTGGGCTATTGAGAGTCTACTTTTTATACATTGTCATTCTAGTCTCTCTGTACTGGGCTATTGAGAGTCTACTTTTTATACATTGTCATTCTAGTCTCTCTGTACTGGGCTATTGAGAGTCTACTTTTTATACATTGTCATTCTAGTCTCTCTGTACTGGGCTATTGAGAGTCTACTTTTTATACATTGTCATTCTAGTCTCTCTGTACTGGGCTATTGAGAGTCTACTTTTTATACATTGTCATTCTAGTCTCTCTGTACTGGGCTATTGAGAGTCTACTTTTTATACATTGTCATTCTAGTCTCTCTGTACTGGGCTATTGAGAGTCTACTTTTTATACATTGTCATTCTAGTCTCTCTGTACTGGGCTATTGAGAGTCTACTTTTTATACATTGTCATTCTAGTCTCTCTGTACTGGGCTATTGAGAGTCTACTTTTTATACATTGTCATTCTAGTCTCTCTGTACTGGGCTATTGAGAGTCTACTTTTTATACATTGTCATTCTAGTCTCTCTGTACTGGGCTATTGAGAGTCTACTTTTTATACATTGTCATTCTAGTCTCTCTGTACTGGGCTATTGAGAGTCTACTTTTTATACATTGTCATTCTAGTCTCTCTGTACTGGGCTATTGAGAGTCTACTTTTTATACATTGTCATTCTAGTCTCTCTGTACTGGGCTATTGAGAGTCTACTTTTTATACATTGTCATTCTAGTCTCTCTGTACTGGGCTATTGAGAGTCTACTTTTTATACATTGTCATTCTAGTCTCTCTGTACTGGGCTATTGAGAGTCTACTTTTTATACATTGTCATTCTAGTCTCTCTGTACTGGGCTATTGAGAGTCTACTTTTTATACATTGTCATTCTAGTCTCTCTGTACTGGGCTATTGAGAGTCTACTTTTTATACATTGTCATTCTAGTCTCTCTGTACTGGGCTATTGAGAGTCTACTTTTTATACATTGTCATTCTAGTCTCTCTGTACTGGGCTATTGAGAGTCTATTTTTTATACATTGTCATTCTAGTCTCTCTGTACTGGGCTATTGAGAGTCTACTTTTTATACATTGTCATTCTAGTCTCTCTGTACTGGGCTATTGAGAGTCTATTTTTTATACATTGTCATTCTAGTCTCTCTGTACTGGGCTATTGAGAGTCTACTTTTTATACATTGTCATTCTAGTCTCTCTGTACTGGGCTATTGAGAGTCTATTTTTTATACATTGTCATTCTAGTCTCTCTGTACTGGGCTATTGAGAGTCTATTTTTTATACATTGTCATTCTAGTCTCTCTGTACTGGGCTATTGAGAGTCTATTTTTTATACATTGTCATTCTAGTCTCTCTGTACTGGGCTATTGAGAGTCTATTTTTTATACATTGTCATTCTAGTCTCTCTGTACTGGGCTATTGAGAGTCTATTTTTTATACATTGTCATTCTAGTCTCTCTGTACTGGGCTATTGAGAGTCTATTTTTTATACATTGTCATTCTAGTCTCTCTGTACTGGGCTATTGAGAGTCTATTTTTTATACATTGTCATTCTAGTCTCTCTGTACTGGGCTATTGAGAGTCTATTTTTTATACATTGTCATTCTAGTCTCTCTGTACTGGGCTATTGAGAGTCTATTTTTTATACATTGTCATTCTAGTCTCTCTGTACTGGGCTATTGAGAGTCTATTTTTTATACATTGTCATTCTAGTCTCTCTGTACTGGGCTATTGAGAGTCTATTTTTTATACATTGTCATTCTAGTCTCTCTGTACTGGGCTATTGAGAGTCTATTTTTTATACATTGTCATTCTAGTCTCTCTGTACTGGGCTATTGAGAGTCTACTTTTTTATACATTGTCATTCTAGTCTCTCTGTACTGGGCTATTGAGAGTCTACTTTTTTATACATTGTCATTCTAGTCTCTCTGTACTGGGCTATTGAGAGTCTACTTTTTTATACATTGTCATTCTAGTCTCTCTGTACTGGGCTATTGAGAGTCTACTTTTTTATACATTGTCATTCTAGTCTCTCTGTACTGGGCTATTGAGAGTCTACTTTTTTATACATTGTCATTCTAGTCTCTCTGTACTGGGCTATTGAGAGTCTACTTTTTTATACATTGTCATTCTAGTCTCTCTGTACTGGGCTATTGAGAGTCTACTTTTTTATACATTGTCATTCTAGTCTCTCTGTACTGGGCTATTGAGAGTCTACTTTTTTATACATTGTCATTCTAGTCTCTCTGTACTGGGCTATTGAGAGTCTACTTTTTTATACATAGTCATTCTAGTGAAATAAATCAAGCCTAGCTGAACATGTGGAGGAGACATGGAGTTACATGTATATCAACACAACATTGACTTACCAGCTGAAAAGATGGAGAAAGATAAAAATAACATTGTTCTGTTATCTTTGAACGATGGAGATTGTGTATATGTATAAAGCAGTTGAAAACTTTGCACACAGTAACTAGGAAGTATATATTTTTTTATTTAAAAATCATTTTGAGAAATGAAAATAAAGCGGCAGCAAACCATTTAAAGCAATTAATTGAAAATAATATAAAATTGTGCAATTACCTTTATATACATCAAGTATTAATGAAACACACATAAAAAGCTCTTCAAGCTAATAGTAAACATAGAGCATTAAGCTTCGATTTAAATCAATGCAGGCATGCGATGTTTTAACTTCCCATACAAGCTGACATCAACTGATGTAAGAGCAGGATTTTGTAGTGAAGTGTTGAAAACAAATTAAATGCCGGACAGCATACACCTAGGTCATTCCTAAAATAAGCCAACATACTCAGGATTTAAAATCTCTGACTCAACAATGCTGCTTTAGATCAAACTTACTCTGGTGTCCTTGTCGCCATGGTCGCTGACCATAAAAGTCCAGGTTGTCCAAAAATTCAAGGGGATCTGGATGAATCAACTGTGTCAAGGGCTGTTAAAAAAAATCACTTCAACTATTAAAAGGGTGTTTTTTGTTGAATTTATTAAAACATACCATAACAAGTAACTATATTAAATTGTGTTTTTGATCATTCATCTTCTCTTGAACAGTATTGTATCTTTATTTTGCAGAGTTCCTCAGTCAAAGCTATAACTTAACCTTCA